AGCCTATTTTTCGAACGTGAGCCTCTGCCTAACCCACGAACGCGGACCTTGTTAACCCGGGCGACGTCCGAGCCGGTATCACACTTTGATCTGGTTACTACCATTATGATTATCTCCACATAATGTGGGTGTGTGGTCACTCTTAGCTTCATTTCTCCCCATAGACCTTACTGGCATGGGTGTCCCTACCAGGAGCTTGTGCTCCAGCCTGCATTGCCCTATGGTTCAGTGAAGTTACTGGGCTCTCCCACCACGACCAGGTGGTGACCACGGGAGAGTTATTATTATTATTATTATTATTATTATTATTATTATTATAAATCTTGCATGAATGTTTCATGGATAAGCATCATATCTCATGTATATGTTTTTTAAATTAATAGAGTTTATGTAAATAATTAACTACATATATATATATAATATATTATATTTATTATACATTACTATGTATTACAATATTTAACAGAAGTTCTAATGTGTAATCCTCATTACATACATAATGTTATACAAATATGTCACTGTATGCCTTATAACACTACTAATTCAGACATTTCTGATTAATCTGAATTAGCCATACTTTACTATACACTTGAAATTTTTTAAATAATAATTTTTTAGGATCCAAAACGTTCTTCTTATGAAGATCCATATCCTACATGGAAGAGTAATCCTGTGCCCCATCATATAAATCCGCACGAAGGCTATGTTAATTTAAATTTAGAAGAATATCCATGGTAGGTTTTAACATAAGTAAAATTACGTCTATAACTATTAACTTCTCAAATGATTCAAAATATTTCACTAGAATATTTTGAATTATTGTAAACAGTTTGATTCAATTTATTTTAATTTGATATGTAAATATGAATTGAATAAAATGTATGTTTGAGAAAAATAAAAATTAAATAGGGAAAAAGTTTTTGTTTTTAAATACAGTAGATCCCCCTATAAAAGCGTTTCCTATAGTTATGATTCCTATAAAAATTGTGGCATTATCCGTAAACAACGGTAAAAATAACTCCTATAATACGTTGGGATTAGCCGGGGTTACGGAGTAGATAGTACTCGTGCAACACGNATACTCAAAGATACAACACTCACAAATGACACATGCAGAAAATGTCACATCATGCCAGAAACTATACAACACATTACTTCTGGGTGCAAGCTCTTGGCACAGACAGATTATTTACACAGACATAATCAAGTAGCAAGTATAGTACACCAAGAGCTTGTAAAGAAACACAAATTGGCAGACATCCACGAACCATACTACAAGTATATACCACAAACAGTATTGGAAAACAACACGCACAAAATATACTGACAGAACCATAATCACAGATAAAACAATTTACCACAACAGACCAGACATCACACTCATTGACAAACACAATAAAATCACATACATTTGTGACCAGAGGGTCAGCACTTGTTCAGGACTGTGTTTTCAGGATAGACACAGAAACCTTAACAGCTACAACTTTGAAAGTTGCGCCAGCGAGTCACATGCGCAAGTGACCAGATTCAGGATGGAGGGGTGTTGAGAGACGGCGGATCGGAAAATGTGCACACTACTACTTAATTAAAATGGAAAATACTCATTTATTTATATAAATATTTACACATACACACAACGTAACAGAATTCTGTTTAGTTTTCTACTAGCAAATTAAATTGTCTATAGCTATATAGTGTCACCTGAGGTTAATGGATTTATGGCTGAGAGAGAGTGAGAGCTTACAATATTACAAATGAGGCAAAATATCTGGATTGGCAGCTTGAATGTTGTGTTGTTGATCAAAGATCGTAGAGGTGGCAATGTCTCAGTCTCTGTTTGTTTCTGGTGTGTCTTTTGAACTGGATTGTCTTGAATCGTTAGGGGGAATTTGTCGGTTTGTCAGGTTCGGGAATGGCAACAGATCGAAACAGCGATCAAGAGATCGGAGAAAGGCAGACGAAGCGGTCGGTGATAGAGCACTCACGTCAAAAAGGAAGCCGAATCTGCAAACTCTTGGACTCTCAATGACTCCTCATCCTTGAGTCACTCCTTTTTATATCCTCAAGCCAGGTTAATAGTGAATTCTTGTTATTAATTCCCAGTGACACATTTGATGAATTTCTTGAGAAAGGAAATGACTCCAAGGAGAGAGATGCGATCATCCTCTGGTAATAAAATTGAAAATATATATATATATATATATTTTTTTTTGCTGGAACCCATTTACTTCAAAAGACGAAAAATGAATTTTCTCTCAAAATATTCACCAGGTTTGACTCACACATTATAGACATTCCAAACACACACAATATACAAAACACATGTACTGAAAAACTCAGCAAGTACACAGAACTTGCCCAAGAAATAAGGAATCTGTAGAGGATGAATAGGGTGCTTATTGTACCTGTTGTTCTCTCCTTTACAGGCATCATACCACACACTACACAAAAGCCTGGGAACATTACAATTGAATAGAAACACATACATCACACTACTGAAGGCCACTATATCAAATACATGTCATATTATTAGGAAATTCCTGAATATAGACACACACACTGACAAACTTGTTTAATTTTTGTCTTGTCTTGTACACAGCCACTAGTGTCAACTGAGTATAACTCACAAAACCCAACATAATAATGTGAGATAAGCAGGGGGTCAGCGGTTAACCACTTAATCTGCACGGGCTGGTAAAGCCCAATCTCGGAGTTGTTCGGATGGCTAGAAGAGCAAAACAAGTGGGGAGTTCATCGGTAAGTCAACAGGTTTCCTTGGATAGACGGGAGACAGGATAGAGGGAAAGAACGAGTTTATTATATAACTAAAGCTAATTTACAAAAGTATACATAAAGAAATATATGATTAAATGCTTAAATGTGGATAACACAAATCTATCTATAACGGCAATCTAACTAGTAACTATGTCGTGTGCCTAACCTCAAGAGTGAGAGATTTTACAAAGGTTACTGCACTCAGATATACCTTAATATGCTGTCGGATGACGTCATGCAATCATCATTCAGGACTATGGAAGCTGGAACAGTCTTATGTCTTCTACCAGCTTCTCTTCGGACAGGACCGGGACGGGAGACACTCAGACATTCCTGGGATAATCACGCTGAGGGACGATGATCACCCTGAACTTCCTGTGACAATCGTTTTTATATGATCATCATTGACACTGAGCCAACTGGTCGTTTACTCGCTATGATGACTAATTAGCACGCGCACGATGACTTGCCTTTCTTCCTTCCTATCTTGTCGATGTGTAAGAGTCGACATCCAATCTATTTCCGTGGGAATTTTTTTCATCCTCTAGTGTTAAAAATGTTAAACACAAAAATTTACGCTTTCAAAACCCTTGGGCTCACAATAATAGTAAGTGCACAGCCCAAATGGTTAGGAGTTGAAAGTTGAAATTTGGTACACAGTTAGGGTACGTCATCAGAATGTACAGTACACTAAGAAGGGATTTTTCAAAATTCCTCCTGTGAGGGAGAGGGAGAGGATTAAGGCTTACCCTGAAGAATTCAACTTCTACTGTACTAGATGAGGTTTTTTGCATTTTTGTGGGAAATTGAACATATTTTTTGTCAACCAAGTATAACTCACAAAACCCAACATAATAATAATAAATCAACAAATTTAGGATATACAGTGGTACCTCAGGATACGAAATTAATCCGTTCTGAAACTGAGATCATATCATGAAAATGTCGTAAGGTGAAGCATTTTTTCCCATACGATTACATGTAAAACCAAATAATTCGTTCCAACACTAAAAACACACTCAAATTAAAGCTAAGATGTACATTAAAAAAAATAACTGTAGTAAGGAAAACACTGAAAAATGCATTTTGTAGTTGTAAATGTACAAATAACCATAATAGAATAATAATTGATAAAAAAAAAGTAGTTTATTTGCACTTTACCTTTGAGGATAGACGACGGTGGAGGTGTAAACTGATGGCGGAAAAGAGGGAGAAGGAAAATGATACTAAAACTTAACTTTTATAACATAATGTAACAATAACTTAGAAAAAACTTAGAAAAGATTTTAAAAAAATTAGTGTTCTTTTATATATATTTTTTAAAATTTTCATTCACTGCTTTTTGTTTCCTTTCCTTCACTTCCACCAGCACTTTCACTGGATAGAGGTCGCTTGGTAAAATACCTCTCCAAAGAGGTTTGGCTTTGCCTACTTTTTAAAATGTTTCTAAAATGACTTAGGCAAATGTCATTAAACTGGGCAACAATATGGCCAGTGTGAACCTTTTTGGGATGTTCCTTTTCAATAAAATCAGTCACTTTCTGATAATACCTCGAGATTTCCTTTATTGAGCGAGATCCTTCCACGACAAAGCAAACACGCGGACTGAGACCAATGAACAGAACTAAATAAAAAATGGCGCTGCGAACTAATGTAACGTTGCATGGTGAGTTTTTGTTCGTATCGTGGAGCAAAAATATGTTCGAATTTCATGTCGTATCCTGAAAATTTCGTATGCTGGGGCGTTCGTATCCTGAGGTACCACTGTAATCCATAAGCTAACTGAAAATGTGAAAGTTAATATTTAATAGATTAAATACTTTATAAGGCTTTTCTTTACTTATTATTAATTAAAAATAAACTTTAAGACAATATGCACCAATAATTAATGCATATTTTCCTGAAAAAAATGTTAACTGAAACAAATTTCTGATTATATTACGTAAAGTTTATTGTGTACTTGTATGTTTTCAAACTTGTTAATTCTGATATTTAATGACTGAAAAGAATATACATGATTATAACAAGCAGAGTCAATTGTATTATTATTATTATGTTGGGTTTAGTGGGTAATACTCGGTTTAAACCGGTGACTGTGTACTATGCCGGACCAGAGTCAAGGCGTAGCAACCAAAACTAATTAAATAAGTGTGTCAGTGTCTGTATTCAGGAATTTCCTAACAATATGACATGTATTCAATATAGTGGCCGTCTGTAGTGTGATGTATGTATTTCTATTCAATTGTAATGTTCCCAGGCTTTTGTGTAGTGTGTGTGGTATCACACCTGTACAGGAGAGAACAACAGGTACAATAAGCACCCTATCCATCCTCCACAGATGCCTTATTTCCTGGGCGAGTTCTGTGTACTTGCTAATTTTTTCAGTGCATGTGTTTTGTACATTGTGAGTGTTTGGAATGGCTATGTCTATAATGTATGTGATTTTATTGTGTTTGTCAATGAGTGTGATGTCTGGTCTGTTGTGGTAAATTGTTTTATCTGTGATTATGGCTCTGTCGTAATACATTTTGTGCGTGTTATTTTCCAATACTGTCTGTGGAATATACTTGTAGTATGGTTCGTGGATGTCTGCCAATTTGTGTTTCTTTGCAAGCTCTTGGTGTATTATATTTGCTACTTGATTGTGTCTATGTAAGTAATCTGTCTGTGCCAAGAGCTTGCAACCAGAAGTGATGTGTTGTATAGTTTCTGGCATGATGTGACATTTTCTGCATGTGTCATTTGTGAGTGTTGTATCTTTGAGTATGTGTTTTCTGTAGTTTTTAGTATTTATGACCTGATCCTGTATGGCAATCATGAATCCTTCCGTCTCCCCAAAGAGGCATCCCCGATCTAACCAGCTGTTTGACGCAGTTTTGTCAACAAAATCCTGGGCCAGGTCGTAAGGATGCCTGCCATGGAGAGCCTTTTGAGCCCATGATTGCTTAATGTTGTCTATGCTTTTTATATGTTGTGTCATGTCTGTATGTTGTGAGTGTAAGTTTAATGGTGTGTTATTTGAGTCTGCTAGAGTTACTGCTTTATGTAACTGTGATGTTTCTTGTTTCTTGTAGAAAAACTCTCGCAGTGACTGTATTTGTTTGTAGTGAAGGTTAACTATGTCAATCAGGCCACGTCCGCCTTCTTTACGTGGAAGGGTTAATCTTTCTGTGGCGGATTTAGGATGATGTTGTTTATGCTTAGTAAGTGTTGTTCTTGTTTTCCTTTGGAGTTGCTCGAGATCTGTGTGAGTCCAATGTATAACTCCAAAAGAGTATGTGAGTACTGGGATGACATATGTGTTTATTGCTTTAACTGTGTGTTTTGCATTTAACTGTGTTCTAAGTATAGCGTTTAACCTACTTTGGTATTCTTTAATTAATCGTTGCTTTATTTGTGTATGTTCTGTTAGTTTGGCCTGTTGGAATCCTAAGTACTTGTAGAACTCGCCCTCTTCCATGGATTCAATAACGTCTCCATTTCCAAGTGCAAAATCTTCTTTCTTCAGGATTCCTTTTTCTATGTGAAGTTTTTTGCATTTGTCTAGGCCAAACTCCATTTGTATGTCCTTAGTGTATGAATGTGTGATTTGTAGGAGTTGATGAAGTTGTTTTTGTGTGGATGCATAAAGTTTTATGTCGTCCATGTACATGAGATGTGACAGTGTAAACTGTGTTGTTTTTTCATGTCTGATATTGTAGCCATATTGCGTGTTGTTTAACATGTTGGATAATGGATTCAGGGCTAGGCAGAACCAGAGAGGACTCAAGGAATCTCCTTGAAAAATTCCTCGCCTAATGAATATTTCGTTTGTTTGTATGGAAGTGTTACTAACCCTGAGATGTAGTGTTGTTCTCCAGTGCTGCATAGTGTTTTCGAAGAATGCAATGAGTGATGGATGTATTTTGTACATGTGTAGAATATGTAGCAGCCAACTGTGTGGAACACTGTCGAATGCTTTTCTGTAGTCTATATATGCCATGTGTATGTTTCTGTGTTGTTTGTGTGCTTGCCGTAGAATGACTGAATCTATGAGTAACTGTTCTTTGCATCCCCTGTGATTTCTACGGCAACCTTTTTGTTGTTCTGTAAGAATGTCGTGTTCTTCAACATGTTTGTATATTTTGTTTGTGATACAGGATGTCAATAATTTGTAGAGTGTTGGAAGACATGTAATTGGTCTGTATTGTGTGGGGTCTGTGGTGTTGTTGTTTTTAGGTTTCATGTAGGTGATGCCCTGAGTAAGAAATTTTGGCATGTCTTGTGGATTGATGATGATGTGTGTTAGATGTTTAGCTAGTTCCTGGTGCAGTGATGTAAACTTTTTGTACCAGAAATTGTGAATGTTGTCTACACCAGGTGTCTTCCAGTTGTGTGTTCTGTTAACAGCGTAGCGAATGTCGTGTACGTTTATTTCAGCACAGGGCATAGTTGGTATGTTGTGCAAGTTTCTGTTCTCCTCCTCGATCCAGCCTGCATCAGCATTGTGTGTAACAGCATTGGACCAAAGAGAAGACCAATAAGTTGTGAGTTCTTCTTCTGTTGGTGTGCCACTGTGCTGTGTATCAGTGTTTGTTTTGGTACTGATTTGTCTGTAGAAAAGTTTTTCATTGTTTGTGAATAATTTATTTTGTTGTTTTCGTAGTGTACATGTTTTGTATCGTTTGAGTCTACGTGCTTTGGCTGCGAGTTTTTGTTTTAGTGTATCGATGTATTCTGTAATGTGTGTGTTGTGATGTTCGTGTTTTGTGTGTGTTTTGATTTTCTTGAAAATGTTTTTGAGTTGTTTCTTTAATTTGGGTGTTATGTTGTTTTTAGTGTATTGTGTCAGCCTGCCTAATTGCTGTCTAATGTCATTTATTTGTGTTTCTATTCTTCTCTGCCAGGCAGGCTTGTGATAGAATTGTGTTTTGTGTGTGTCTGTCTGTGAGTGTATTTTCAGTCCATGGTGTGTTACTACTGTGACTGCCCCAGCATAAACTAATGTATGAATGTCTGTAAGTGTAGAAATTGAATGAATGTAGTTTGGTAGTAAGTGAGTGTTTACATAATCTAGTGTTTTTCCTACTGCCTTTGACGTGTTGATTTTTGGTATTCGTGGTCTTTGTGTGGGATCTGTACCAGTATATTTAATGAGTGTTTCCTGAAATATAAGTGAGAGCGTATTAACTAATTCTATGTCTATGTTATCAGTGATGGATGGGGAAGTGCCTGCAGTATCATTAGTGGTACTTGTTGTGTGTGTGCTGTAATCAGTGCTTGTTGCTGGATTATCCTGACAGGTTACGTGATCTTCATTAATGTTAAATGTTTCTGTCTGTTGATGTATTTGATCAGCAACCTGTTGTTTGATAAGTTCAAGTGTTGTTTGTGGGATAAGGTTGTTGTGTATAATTGTTCGTTTTTGATCAACAACCCTTTGTTCGGTGACAGTGAGGTGAGGATATTGTTGTGTGAATCTATGGTGTAGTTGTTGTCTGTATGCTGTCATGTTTGTTTCGAGTCTTGTGATGGTGTAGTAAGTGCGGATGATAAACTCGTTCATTTCTGTTGTCCATTTCATCCGTTGGCGTGGTTTTCCAGCCTTTGTGGTCTGTGGATGCATTGCCACAGAAACACCAAGGCTAGGTTGATTCCTCACATCTGTTGAGGGCATTGCAGTAGCCATGCTTGGGCCGGCGCTGCTTTCGCCACCGGTAACCAAGGGAGACTGGAGCCTATTTTTCGAACGTGAGCCTCTGCCTAACCCACGAACGCGGACCTTGTTAACCCGGGCGACGTCCGAGCCGGTATCACACTTTGATCTGGTTACTACCATTATGATTATCTCCACATAATGTGGGTGTGTGGTCACTCTTAGCTTCATTTCTCCCCATAGACCTTACTGGCATGGGTGTCCCTACCAGGAGCTTGTGCTCCAGCCTGCATTGCCCTATGGTTCAGTGAAGTTACTGGGCTCTCCCACCACGACCAGGTGGTGACCACGGGAGAGTTATTATTATTATTATTATTATTATTATTATTATTATTATAAATCTTGCATGAATGTTTCATGGATAAGCATCATATCTCATGTATATGTTTTTTAAATTAATAGAGTTTATGTAAATAATTAACTACATATATATATATAATATATTATATTTATTATACATTACTATGTATTACAATATTTAACAGAAGTTCTAATGTGTAATCCTCATTACATACATAATGTTATACAAATATGTCACTGTATGCCTTATAACACTACTAATTCAGACATTTCTGATTAATCTGAATTAGCCATACTTTACTATACACTTGAAATTTTTTAAATAATAATTTTTTAGGATCCAAAACGTTCTTCTTATGAAGATCCATATCCTACATGGAAGAGTAATCCTGTGCCCCATCATATAAATCCGCACGAAGGCTATGTTAATTTAAATTTAGAAGAATATCCATGGTAGGTTTTAACATAAGTAAAATTACGTCTATAACTATTAACTTCTCAAATGATTCAAAATATTTCACTAGAATATTTTGAATTATTGTAAACAGTTTGATTCAATTTATTTTAATTTGATATGTAAATATGAATTGAATAAAATGTATGTTTGAGAAAAATAAAAATTAAATAGGGAAAAAGTTTTTGTTTTTAAATACAGTAGATCCCCCTATAAAAGCGTTTCCTATAGTTATGATTCCTATAAAAATTGTGGCATTATCCGTAAACAACGGTAAAAATAACTCCTATAATACTGTGGGATTAGCCGGGGTTACGGAGTAGATAGTACTCGTGTAACACTTAATCGGCACAGATTAACCAAAATCTGTATCCTTAGTTTCGGATCTTGAGATCCGATCTTATGTCAAGATTTGTTTGACCGGAGGGCGGTGATATTTAGATAAAAGAGGAATTCTAGACTGTGAGGTCTTTATTCCAATTGTCAGGTTCCCGACACCAGTTAATCGATCTTATTAGACGCGGATTAACACGCGTACGCGATCTGATTCGGAAATGATCTGAGGAGACATTCTTATGATAAAAAAAGTAAAATTTAATAAAACCAAAACAAATGAATACAAAGATCAAATACAAACGATTATACGACAAAATTTAGACTACGACTTAATCTAAGCTAATGCGCGTTCGAGAGAGAGCTCACAAATTCTATCATAAACATACGACCTGGTAGTTGTCGTCTTCGTTCTGTAGATATAGGGCACCTTGTAGATAGGATTCATATTACTTTCGTATGGGAGATCAATTCGTGCACCAAATATAAAATTATCACTTCTTCTAAGTGTAGACTCGGGACTTTGTCTATCGGACTTCGTTATGGGCGTTGGCCATCAGGAGGAGAACGTATGTGGAGTCTGGACACTTTCAGATCGGTCGGAGAACTCCTCGAGTTATGACGAATTTCTCCTTTTATTTCCAAACTTCGTCCAATCCTCGTATAGTAACTCTTCGTGAGAACCGGCGAAAAGGGGGACGAAAGAGGGGTAGTCATTTCCCATCTGAGCGAGATTTTTAACGGATATGTAAAAGCAACGGATGTTCTCCTTGACGGAAAGGAAATAACATTTGTTATGTGGGGTTTTTCCCACGTTTAAAACTCTATTTTTCTCACCAAAAACGAAGTATTATTTGGTGATATTATTTAAGAATATTTAATAAAACTTATTAAATGAGGCCTAGGGCCCTCTGGATCTCACATTACTCCCTTATCTTCAAAAATCACACTACATTTAAAGAAGGCGTGATTTTTCACTGCAATACAAAAGTTCGAATTGCTCTCTCTCTTTCTCAAAATTGCGTTATACATAATAATAAAATCATAAAAATATACAATAATTCAAATAAATTTCAAAACTGAAATACATGGGAATAATGTAATAAACAATTCATTAGATTAAAAATATTACTAAAATTAAACATAATGAACATAAGTGTCTTCGTCTGGAATTGACGGTAAAAGTGAATATAGTTCGTCACTTGTTTCGAATGCACCTCTCTGTTGCTGAGAGTCTCTATGGCAGCACACTCTGTTGGCTGACTTCTTATAGTTGCACAAATTCAGGTATGTTAGAAGATTAGGTGATGTCTTCTTGTTTCAAAAAGCCCTTACTAAAAGTTCAAAGTTCACTGTGCAGTTCAAAAATGATATAATGTGTCTTCTTCCTGTATGTTGACACACTTCCTTTTCTGCTAAAATTTCATTTAACATAACCACAAAAGTTCAGGTGGTTGAGTTCATTAAAGGTTGTATGATTCCAGGGTCATTGAAATCCATTTTGGGGCAAAGTTCTTTTTCACCAAAGTATTGTTCAATTTCAAAGGTAATATGTTTAACAAATACATATCTCTAATAAAGTCTCTCTCTCTCTTAATACTACTCTAAGTCTTATATCTAGACTATTCTTTACAATATTATGTCTATTCCAATCAATCGCTTTAGTTTATCAATTTGAGTGGGGTGTACATTCCTTTAAATAAGCTTTTTGTTATTATTAGGAAAGGTACTTACAAACTAAAGATATATGTAACTAAATTGACTATCAATAAATCAAATAAAAGTTCAATCTAATGAAATAATCATTCAAAAATCAAATGTGAATTATAGTCTATAGGAGCGAACAACATGCTTCCTTGTCTGTGTTGAGCTTGAAGCTTGTTCAGTTGAACTTTCAATTGGTTCGACGATTTCCGTTTCTTCTTCTTCTGCATTATTTCTTTGAGGAATTTCTTGAAGTGGAATGTCTTGTTGTGACATTTTCTTGGTCCTCTTCTCAAATCTTCGTTTCCAACAAATATGCTTGACTATATAATATGTACAGATAAGTAGAATTAATATTCCTATACTTCCAAGGATAATCCATATGTATGTGATTGGAATGGTTGGAGTGTTTGATATAAAAAGATCTTCATTTTCTTTCAATAATCTATCCAAATCTTTCTTCATTTGCTCGTATGATTTTTCTGCTACCTTAATGTCATCATCTGTTGGTTTCTTAGAATTCCCTTTATTCTTCTTAGGATTTTCTGTAGTAATTAAATTTTCTTGCAATTCTTCTAATTCCATCTTGGAAAATATCGTTTCGATTGGNAGATGCGATCATCCTCTGGTAATAAAATTGAAAATATATATATATATATATATTTTTTTTTGCTGGAACCCATTTACTTCAAAAGACGAAAAATGAATTTTCTCTCAAAATATTCACCAGGTTTGACTCACACATTATAGACATTCCAAACACACACAATATACAAAACACATGTACTGAAAAACTCAGCAAGTACACAGAACTTGCCCAAGAAATAAGGAATCTGTAGAGGATGAATAGGGTGCTTATTGTACCTGTTGTTCTCTCCTTTACAGGCATCATACCACACACTACACAAAAGCCTGGGAACATTACAATTGAATAGAAACACATACATCACACTACTGAAGGCCACTATATCAAATACATGTCATATTATTAGGAAATTCCTGAATATAGACACACACACTGACAAACTTGTTTAATTTTTGTCTTGTCTTGTACACAGCCACTAGTGTCAACTGAGTATAACTCACAAAACCCAACATAATAATGTGAGATAAGCAGGGGGTCAGCGGTTAACCACTTAATCTGCACGGGCTGGTAAAGCCCAATCTCGGAGTTGTTCGGATGGCTAGAAGAGCAAAACAAGTGGGGAGTTCATCGGTAAGTCAACAGGTTTCCTTGGATAGACGGGAGACAGGATAGAGGGAAAGAACGAGTTTATTATATAACTAAAGCTAATTTACAAAAGTATACATAAAGAAATATATGATTAAATGCTTAAATGTGGATAACACAAATCTATCTATAACGGCAATCTAACTAGTAACTATGTCGTGTGCCTAACCTCAAGAGTGAGAGATTTTACAAAGGTTACTGCACTCAGATATACCTTAATATGCTGTCGGATGACGTCATGCAATCATCATTCAGGACTATGGAAGCTGGAACAGTCTTATGTCTTCTACCAGCTTCTCTTCGGACAGGACCGGGACGGGAGACACTCAGACATTCCTGGGATAATCACGCTGAGGGACGATGATCACCCTGAACTTCCTGTGACAATCGTTTTTATATGATCATCATTGACACTGAGCCAACTGGTCGTTTACTCGCTATGATGACTAATTAGCACGCGCACGATGACTTGCCTTTCTTCCTTCCTATCTTGTCGATGTGTAAGAGTCGACATCCAATCTATTTCCGTGGGAATTTTTTTCATCCTCTAGTGTTAAAAATGTTAAACACAAAAATTTACGCTTTCAAAACCCTTGGGCTCACAATAATAGTAAGTGCACAGCCCAAATGGTTAGGAGTTGAAAGTTGAAATTTGGTACACAGTTAGGGTACGTCATCAGAATGTACAGTACACTAAGAAGGGATTTTTCAAAATTCCTCCTGTGAGGGAGAGGGAGAGGATTAAGGCTTACCCTGAAGAATTCAACTTCTACTGTACTAGATGAGGTTTTTTGCATTTTTGTGGGAAATTGAACATATTTTTTGTCAACCAAGTATAACTCACAAAACCCAACATAATAATAATAAATCAACAAATTTAGGATATACAGTGGTACCTCAGGATACGAAATTAATCCGTTCTGAAACTGAGATCATATCATGAAAATGTCGTAAGGTGAAGCATTTTTTCCCATACGATTACATGTAAAACCAAATAATTCGTTCCAACACTAAAAACACACTCAAATTAAAGCTAAGATGTACATTAAAAAAAATAACTGTAGTAAGGAAAACACTGAAAAATGCATTTTGTAGTTGTAAATGTACAAATAACCATAATAGAATAATAATTGATAAAAAAAAAGTAGTTTATTTGCACTTTACCTTTGAGGATAGACGACGGTGGAGGTGTAAACTGATGGCGGAAGAGAGGGAGAAGGAAAATGATACTAAAACTTAACTTACATAACATAATGTAACAATAACTTAGAAATAACTTAGAAAAGATTTTAAAAAAATTAGTGTTCTTTTATATATATTTTTTAAAATTTTCATTCACTGCTTTTTGTTTCCTTTCCTTCACTTCCACCAGCACTTTCACTGGATAGAGGTCGCTTGGTAAAATACCTCTCCAAAGAGGTTTGGCTTTCCCTACTTTTTAAAATGTTTCTAAAATGACTTAGGCAAATGTCATTAAACTGGGCAACAATATGGCCAGTGTGAACCTTTTTGGGATGTTCCTTTTCAATAAAATCAGTCACTTTCTGATAATACCTCGAGATTTCCTTTATTGAGCGAGATCCTTCCACGACAAAGCAAACACGCGGACTGAGACCAATGAACAGAACTAAATAAAAAATGGCGCTGCGAACTAATGTAACGTTGCATGGTGAGTTTTTGTTCGTATCGTGGAGCAAAAATATGTTCGAATTTCATGTCGTATCCTGAAAA